CTGCTGGCGGTACTGGAGTTGGAGCTGCTACAGGTGTTGGTGCTGTCCCTGCTATGTCTGGAGTCGCCGCGCGGCCTCGGCTGTACTTCGTTCCGCTCCTTCAGCAGGTTCTTGGTCTCCCAGCTTCCTCTGGTCCGTCTCCTCCCCTAGAGTGTCCACAGCCTGTCCAGTCACAGCTAGAGTTACAACCTGACTCCCCACTGCCTGCTCCGTCTTCCTACACTGGTCCTACTGGAGGTCTTACTGAGCGTCGTGCGCCTGCGTCCCGCCCTGCGTCCCCTGTCCGGGCTGCTCGCCCTAGTGGTCGCGGTTCACGTCAGCGTCCTCCTCCTGTCCCTGGCACGCATAGGATGTCTCTGCGTCCGTCCACTGCTCCTCTGCGTGCCCCTTTGCCTTCTCCTCCTCAGTCTTCTCTTCCTGCTCTTGCCGACCCGGAGTCGGACTCTCTTCGTGCTGCCAGTCCTACTGTCACACGTCTTCTTGCCACTGTCGTCACTGACCCTTCCTTTGAGTCCGCTGCTGCGTCTGCCTTAGTCGCTGAGCTGGTCGACTTTGCTGCCGCGTGTCGTCTAGACTACGCCGCCAGTCTTGTTGCTGAGTCGGAGTCTGCTGAGTCTGAGTCTGCTGAATCTACGTCTGCCTGTCCTCCGTCCGTCGGGGATGACTGTGCTCTTGGCACGGACGTCCTTGAGGACAGGCAGGAGGAGTTCCAGTGCTTTGCTGCCGCTTTGCCCCATCTCGTGTCCATGCTTGTTGCCCCTGAGGGAGACCCGGATGCTCCTGACATCCCGACCCCACGCTCTTACGCAGAGGCGATGGCCGGTCCCTACTCCTCTCAGTGGCAGACAGCTATGGACGCAGAGATGGCTTCCTGGAACTCCACAGGCACCTACGTCGACGAGGTTCCCCCACCTGGGGCGAACATCGTCAGTGGCATGTGGATTTTCATGGTGAAGCGGCCGCCGGGATCTCCGCCTGTCTTCAAGGCGCGGTACGTGGCTCGTGGCTTCAGTCAGCGGCAGGGAGTTGACTTCTTCCAGACCTTCTCCCCGACCCCGATGATGACCACTCTTCGGGTTCTTCTGCACGTCGCCGCTCAGCGTGACTACGAGCTCCACTCTCTTGACTTCAGCACTGCTTTCTTGCAGGGCAGCCTGCACGAGGAGATCTGGCTGCGCCGCCCTCCTGGCTTCACTGGGTCGTTCCCTCCTGGTACCTAGAGGAGCCTCTGGCGGCCAGTCTACGGTCTCCGCCAGGCGCCGCGCGAGTGGCACAACACACTGAGGACTACACTTGCGGCTCTTGGGTTCGCTCCCTCTACCGCTGACCCGTCGCTGTTTCTACGCACCGACACCTCGCTGCCGCCGTTCTACATCCTCATGTACGTCGACGACTTGGTCTTTGCCACTGCGGACACTGCCGCACTCGCCCACGTGAAGTCCGAGCTGCAGAAGAGACACACGTGCACAGACCTGGGTGAACTGACAAGCTATCTTGGCTTGCGGATCACCCGGGACAGAGCACGGCGCACCATTACCCTGACTCAGTCACACATGGTGCAGCAGGTCCTTCAGCGCTTCCGCTTCACGTACTCCTCGCCTCAGTCCACTCCTCTGCCTACGGGACACTCGCTCTCAGCTCTGCCTTCGGATGAGTCCGTAGAGTCGAGTGGCCCGTATCCAGAGCTTGTGGGCTGCCTCATGTACCTGATGACCTGCACTCGACCTGACCTCGCATACCCTCTCAGCATCTTAGCACGCTATGTTGCTCCCGGCCGTCACCGGAAGGAGCACATGGATGCAGCTAAGAGGGTGTTGCGCTACTTGTGCAGTACGTCGGGCATGGGGCTAGTGCTTGGAGGGCGAGACCGGCCTGTTCTCACTGGGCACTCAGGCGCTTCTTGGGCTGACGACCAGGCTACACAGCGGTCGTCTCAGGGTTACACCTTCAGTCTTGGCTCTGGCTCTGTCTCTTGGCGCTCTACTCGCTCTTCTTCTGTTCTCAGCTCCAGTTGTGAGGCTGAGATCTACGCCACGGCCATGGCTGCCCAGGAGCTTCGCTGGCTCACCTACCTGCTGACTGACCTTGGAGAGCGGCCTCGTTCTCCTCCAGTGCTGTACGTCGACAACAAGGCAGCCATTGCCTTGTGTCAGGAGCACAGACTGGAGCACAGGACGAAGCACATTGCTCTGCGCTACTTCCTTGCTCGAGAGCCGCAGCAGCGCGGTCAGCTTCGCCTGCGTCACGTGGCCACTGAGGCCAACACTGCTGATGTGTTCACCAAGGCACTTCCGCCTTGTGATCATCAGCGCTTTTGCACTTTGCTAGGTCTTGTGCCCACTGGGCCTCACTTGCTTACCTCTTGACCTTGTCTGTACTGCTGCATATATATACCTGCTCTTGCTTGTTTAGCGCTGTTATATATATGCTCTACTGCATATGAACTGGCCTTGTGGCCTTGAACTTGTGCTCGGAATTTGTGTGGTATCCTTGAGATCCACCCTAAGCTTGCTTTGCTTTGCTTTGCTTTACTGGTCTTGTGACCCCTTGTTCTCCCCCACTTTGCCTACGGGGGTGTGTCAGATTATTATATAGCTGATGCATGTTTGTAGGCTGTAGTGGGGTAGCCCATAGGGGGTACAACCCAATTAGGGTCGGTACTTGTACTGTTTTCATTCATAGTGCATCCATTCCTCGCTACTATCTTAACAGAACATCGCTATGGGCGCGTCCGCCTTGCAGACGAACATCGCAATGTGGAGGAGCCGAATGATATGATGGGTGGAGGCGTCTGTGGTCTTCCACCCACCCAGTGTAGCCTGCTTCGCCTTCTCCGCCTCCGCCTTCTCCTGATTCTCCACTGCGTTCTTGTGTGCACGGGTCGCGGAGTGAGTACGGATGCTGCCGATTTGGAGATCCCGCACACTCTCACCCTTGAGCCCGTACGCGGTATGCGCCAGTGGATCTCCGTGCTTCACACAAATAGCACACTTCAAGGACGGACGACCGTTAGACATGCGGAGGAAACGCAACCATTTGAAAGCACCTTGCCACTGACCCTCAAACGTTTTGTTCACCGACTCATACTCAGCATCCGCTAGAGCGGTGGGCGGCTTCGGATCGGATGAAGGAGCAGGGCACTTGTTTGAAGTAGAGTCGCGGGGAGGAGGGGCACCCCAGAGCGTCTGCTGCTTGTACGTAATTCCAGGGCGCGGTCGCTTTACAGGCGCGGTGCTGACAGTCGAAGGCGTAGCAGTAGGCGGTTTTGACGAGCCTTCGCCACCACCGGGAACTAAGTCTATGTCAGGATGAGGCTCCCACGCCGAGGGTGAGTCTGGCGGCTCGAACGGATAGACCGTTCCTACCACACATTCTGGTGACGGCTCACGAGTAGGCAGCTGTGCGATGGGCACGGCGTAGTTCTCGCTAAGCCGTGGTAAAACGCCCAGCACGAAGAGGCCGTTTCTCGCGCCATCAGGTGGAGCGGCCTCACCAGTGGGCATTGTGGAGTTGAAAAGTGAGGATGGTTGAGAATGAGGGCCAAGCGAGAGACCCCCTCGTAGAGAAGGCGCCTATGTCAGCCTCGATAGGGTAGTATGTTCCACAGGGCGGGCCCTGTGATGGCCAGCAAGGCAGCACTGAGGCTGCAAATGGCTGTGAAGGACAGCTTGAAGCTGTCCTTCACAGGCAATTCTGATGTGATGGCGGTGGGCGTGGCGAAAACTGACGAGGTGCAATCATTGGTTGCAGCCCTGCGGCAGAAACAACCAATGCGGATAGTTGGCGTGATGCCAAGTACGCAGCATTTTTCCGTGCGTGTGGGCACGAGCGACAACAGGTGTTTGTGAGGGTGTTGTACGTTTTGTCACCACGCGGACTATAGTCAGGTTCGCGTTAGAAAAGATTCGGTAAAAGGGTAGTGTAGACCCAACCCTGATTCCGACAGGGTAAGCTAAAAACCAATTAGGGTAAAGAAAACGTGAACTTTAAAGAGAAGGGTAACTATAGCGCAATCCTGATTTCGTCAGGGTAATCCTGAAAAAGCGGCCCGCCCCCAGGGTAATCAGGGTGTTTTACCCTAATATTTTGGGCCCTGACTGCCACCTGCATGTATGTAGGTTGTGCTTGGTTGAGTTGTTTGATTGTGTGTGAGTTATCAGAAGAGGATGTTCACAAAGCAGTATGTAGAAACTCAGCGCGCCGACGAGAGCTTATACGGTAGCACCACCTTATTATCACAATTCACGTCGATGCGGCTCACAGAGGTCGCCCTGGTTTTTGGAATGGCTAGGCTTGGTGTTCAGGATAACAGTGTGCTGATGAAGACACACTGAAACAAAGCATGGTACGGACGGTACGGATGAGCAACATTGTTTTTATATGCATGAATAACATTACTGGATCTATATCGATTGAGGTTCTGTCGTTCTTTTCTAGTTCGTGAGTTTTCTCTACACAGTACATTCGGCTCGGCAAGGAATGGAGCCGGCAGATGGGGGAGCTACCAGCAATTTTGGACGGACCCACGGACGTAGCGTGCCCCCCGTGTGATGTCTTCGCAGCGAATGAGGTAGGAGTGCGATTGGCGCTAAGAGAACCTATCATCAAAGGGACGACTGTTGGCGGCGGCAGCAATGACCCAACTAGTATTACGGGTGTCACTTGTGCCTTTCCCTGTATGACGTGTCTTGCCATTCTCCCTTCCCCTCTGTGTGACGTCTTCGCAGCGATAAGGTGGGTGTGGCGCTGGGAGCACTAGCCGCCAAAGGCACGATTGCTGCCGGTTTATATGCGCATGGGCTTTTTTTGAGACGTCTCAATAATACCCCTTTTTTCATGACGGTCGTGCGGGTTTATGAGCGTGTGGCCTCTTTTTTTTTACGTCTGATAAGCACCATTTTTTCACGACGGTGGTGTGCGTGTGGCCTCTTTTTGAGACGTCTCAAAAACACCCTTTTTTCACGGCGGTGGTGCGCGTTTATGCGCGCAAGGGCTCGGTGATGCTCCTCGGCTTGCTCGCGCAGCCACGCTCCGTCTATTTCGACTTTGAACGATGCGTATCCGTGCCCGAAGTCACGTCCGCGAGCGATGTTGGTGTGACTGAGAATCCTCACAAGTCACAGCAACATAGCGTGCCCGAAGTCGCGTCTGCGAGTAGCGGCACGAGCGGCGGCGGCGCGGTGGACGCGCTGGGGTGGTGGGACGTGTTTTCGGGTGACCCGTTTTTCGATCGCACGGTGTGCAACGCGGTGCAGCTTTTTGCGTCGCCCGACTGCTCTGGTGCTGAGGTGGCGAAACACGTATACAATGGGTACATGAGGTGAGCAATCGCGCGTTTGTTACTGGGATGTAACCAAGCTCCTTCCCTCCCTCCTCCTGCGAGGTGCACCTGTTCACGTCGCCCGATTGCTCGGGTACTGCAGCGGTAAAATACCATTTCGCGAAGGATATGAGGTGAGAGTAACCATTTTGCTGTGAAAATGCCCATTTGCGGGGTACATGAGGTGAGCATTGACGGGGTAACTGAGGTGAAATACCCAGTTTCATTATTCACCTGTTTGTTTACTGGCGCACACTGAAGCTCACTCCCTTGCTTGCATGTGTCACTACTCACCAGTGTGAGTAGTGCTTTCAAAATGGTCACATATGTGAAGTCCATTTGCTGCGTTGTCGGTGAGTGCCTTGCTGCCACCATGCATTCACCTCTATGCTGCCACCATGCATTCACCTCTCTGCTGCCACCATGCATTCACCTGTCTGCTGCTATTACTGTGCAATGCATGCAATGTTGCTCATGCATCGCATTGAAAAACATCACTTGCTGCTTCCATCCAGCTGTGCCCTGCTGCTGTCATGTGCGCTTCCTCCTTTTGAGTGGTGCCATGCACTTCCAGATGCAATTTATGCCGCTTTTCCTCATGAGTCATGCCTCTCCCCCCATTCTTTCCCCCATGCCTCCCCCCCCCCCATGCCATTTCCTCCCATCCCATGCCCCTCATCCCATCCTCCCATGTGATACAGACAACATCTGCAGCTGTGTCAAGTGCCCGGCACACTCCACGTGCATCAAGACAAACGACAGCATGGAGGTGGTTTGCCAGTGCGCCCAGGGCTACTGTAAATTCTACAGTCAATGCCAACCTCAGTAGCCTCACCTCCGTTTTGTAAGCCCGCGCTTCCTCTCTGTATTTTCCCTCAAGCTCTATCTTCCCCCCCTCTCTCTTCCTGTCCCGTCCTACATCCTCCCCTCCTCCATCTGCCTCCCTCTCGCTCCCAGTCCTCTGCCTCACCCTCTTTCTCCCCTCTCTCCTCTCTCCCCCTCCCTCTCTCTTCCTGTCCCGTCCTACCTCCCCCCCTCCTCCATCTACTGCTCTGCCTCTGTCTTGCACCCTGCCTTCCGTCCCCATTCTGCCTTCTCTCTATCTCTCTCTCTCTCTCTCTCTCTCTCTCTCTCTCTCTCTCTCTCTCTCTCTCTCTCTCTCTCTCTCTCTCTCTCTCTCTCTCTCTCTCTCTCTTTCTCTCAAGCGGTCATGCATTTATGTTGATAATAAGGTACAGGCATGCAAGTGTGGGTATCGGCTGGGAGGCTAACCTAGGCAAGTAACTTGGTGGCTGGCCGAGCTAGCAAGTAAGCTAACAACCAAACAAACCTGCAGCCAAACAACAGACAGCAGACAACTTGCATGGATATCACAAAGCGACCGAGACCCTGATCTCCCCACCTGCTATGCCCCACTCCTTCCCCTACCCTGCCATACTTCTCCTCCGCGCCTGCTACCCCGTTCCTCTTCCCCCTCGGCGACTTACACCCCTGCAAGGCCATCGTCAAGCACCTGCCAGAGGTCCCCTAGGCTCGGCTCCTAGGGGTCCATAGGTGCTTGGGGGAAGGCTGCTTCAGCCGCCGTGTTGCTTTTGTTGAGGAACGAGGTGGCCTGCGAACGCTGCAGCATGACTGACCAGCATTGGCGGTAGTGCGCGTTGAGGCGGGAGGCTGTGGTTGTGAGTGGCCCCTGCCGGAACTTTTTCCTTGCTGTGGCCACCGCCAACAGCCGTAGGAACTGCACCGTGTCCGTTGCTAGTGCCCCGTAGGTCTCAACTGCTAGGCCGAAGAAACCCACATAGTCTGGCCGGCCCTCATACAAGCGGTGCTTCCGCTCCGAAGCTTCCTTGGCCGCCCACCCCGGCGGCTTCCGTACCCGTGGGTCCCGCTTCTGCAGCACCGGGTCTGTCACTGTTACATCGGTGACCCAGGTCTCTGCAGACTCCCTATTCTGAAACGCTAGATCCGCCCGCTTGCGGAGGACAGGGGGAGAGAAAGTCGCCGTCTCATGGAATGTGTTAAATCCTGCTTCTCGTGCCAACCTCAGAGCCGTATAGACCAGCGCGTTGTGTGTTCTCACCACACCCCCCCCCTCACCACAACGGAGCAGGTAATTGGCTAGGCTGCTGTCCGCAATCTCAGAATTGTCACGCTTACAGGGGCACTTGGCTGTGACCGGGAGGGCCATCCCTAGGCGGAAACCGAGGGCTAGCGAGAACTGACCAGGGGCAAATGTAAGGTCAGATCTCGTCGGCACCGCGTGAAGCCAATCTTCCGCCCCTACCCCCTTCAGGCTAACCAGCCTCACTCCATGTCCCTGGTCCTCCCCTGGTCTGTCAGCTAACGTATCGGCTAGCAGCTCCCGTGCACGTGTGGCGTTGATGTGCTTCGACAAAATCAGCTGCAGGTTACCCTGGCCTGCCGGGCCTACTCTGTAGGCCTGGAGTGCTGTCTGTGCATCTGCCGGCAAGCCTTCCTCTAGTGTCACAAGTACATTCGTCTCCGGGGGCGGGGGAACCCAGTCCCTGGACAGGAGGGTTACTGCCCGCGACAACAGCTCCGTCTCCCGCAAATTCATCTGCTGCAGCAGGTGGTGCGCCGCTGTGAGGGAGGCAATGTACGCCGCCGGCGCCTCAGAAAGGGGGTCGATGATGCTCAGGCCTCCCAGGCGGACGGGCAGCGTCGCTTGTCGCCAGAGGAGGCTCTGCTCCAATTCAGTCGAGGGGATCCTGAGCTTGGCTGCTGTCAGCGCCGCCCCTAACAGAGACTCGCTCCACGCCCTCCACTCCTCCCGTTCCAGTGTGCTACTCGGAGTGGTGCGGAGTGTTGATTGTGTAGGTGGTTGTGGTATTTTGCTCTAGCTGGTTGTGGGCTAAGGGTTTGGGCAAAATGTGGTGGTTAGACTTGTTGCGGGCTGGAAATGATCTCGCACACAACAAGCACCAACAAACCTTTGCTATTCACTACAACACCTTTGGTGTGGCTAGTTTAGCACTCTGGGTTGTTGGGGATTGTTGTAGGGCAAGGGTTGGGTTGGTAGGGTTTGAACAACTCGTCACTTTTCAGATCTGAACTCTTGCTAAAGCTACTTTCTTGAACTAATCCATGGCTGCCTAGTAATTCCGCCAGGATACACTGTCGCACTTAGATCGCAATAGCGTTCGGCCTAGATTTTGGTTGAAAGCGTGCGTTACCATTCTGGAAAGTAGAGATTAAGACCTTTCCAACGCGTACCTGGTCATAGTTTAAGATCACGTGAGCTGCACGCAATGTTCCGTTGAAGTCGGCGGACTTAATCTCTTGTACGCTCTCCAGATTCGCTCGCTTTCCATCAGTGGTATCAGAGCTGGTTAGGCCTGCGACATTCCCTCTTTTCATCATATTTCGAATTGGTTGAAGGACCTCCAGATCTAGGGTTGGTCATGGCCCAGAAATTAGATGGCCCTCCTAGGTTCACAGGCTCGGATTTTTCGCTATGGCGGTTCCAGTTTACGCTTTGGCTAGGTATCAAAGACCTAGAAGGCGTTTTGGAGGGATCGGAGCGAAGACCTGCAGCTGATGAAGGAAAGGCATCTACTAGAGTCTCTAGCCAAGTAGGAGAAGGGGCTGGGGGAGCCTTTAGCTCATCCATAACAGAGGGAAGTGGAGGTGGATCAGCAGCATCGCGAACCGGAAGGCAACGGCTTAGTGCGGAGGAGCTTCTTAAGGCACAGGAAGCATGGGACCGCAAGGACAAGCAAGCGTTCCAGTACCTGTGTTGGGCCTTGGAAGGCCAACTAGAGCTCCTTAAGATGTTGATTGACCTAAAGGGCAAGCAAGGAGCAGCTGCACTAGCATGGAAGAGAGTTCAAGATCGACATTTGCAAAAGGGGTTGCTAAGCATACTCACCTGGAGGAAGCGATTCTACACCATGGAACGCAACTATGGCGATGGGGACACCATGGTGCAGTATCTCCAGAGGGTGGATGAGTATGTGAGAGCCTTAGAGGAGTTGAACTACACAGTAGATGAGAAGGAGATCATCTACACCGCACTCCGGGGGCTGGACCAAGAGGCGAACGAGGCTCTACTGCAGTACCTTCACCTTGAGCAACAGAATTGGACCAAGGCCTGGATATGGGAGGTGTTGGTTTCTGATGAGGCTCGCAAACGGGATGCTGGTAGAGTAGTTGAAGGGGGAATGGGGGCAAGGGATAGGGCTGCCTCCAAGAAATACCAGCAGCGGCAAGGAGGTGGGGGGAAGAAGAAGGAGCTCGACAAGTGCCTCGTCCCTGGAAGCAACCGGAAGCATTCTTGGAAGGAGTGTTGGAGCCGTTCTGATGGGTGGAAGCCTCAAGGGTACCCAGGAGAGGCTCCACCTATCACTAGGCTTGAGTGGGTGGAGAGGAGGATGAAGAATGGAGCATGGAACAAGAAGGGCAGCAAAGAGAAAGCGGCAGCAACGGCGGCAAACGAGAATAAGAAGGGAAAAGAGGACTCATCGGATGATGGTTTCTCCTTCTTATCCTTGGAGAAGGAGACGGCGCTTGCTGGTCGTGTGTTGGCTGACCCCAATCAGCTCATTCTAGACTCTGGGGCAACCTGTGGAATGGTACCTCGGCGCGACCTCTTCACCACCTATCACTCCCTCCCACCTAACTCCAGAAATGTGATTGTGGGGAGCGGAGATACGCTGCAAGCAATCGGCATCGGCACCATCACCGTCATGGGGAAGGAGGGGGAGGTGCTGAATGTGAAGGGTGTGCTTCATGTTCTTGATTTGGCAGCCAACCTTCTCTCATGCTCTCAACTTGTGAGGCAAGAATATATATGCACCTTCACCATGGAAGGTGGCACGGTTCGCAAGGGTGGAGCTGTGGTGATGGAGGCCAAATTAGAGAAGGGCCTATACCTTGTTCCAGTTTGTGTGCCTCAGGTGGAGAGGGCACATGGAGTTGAAGCCGAGGAAGCCGCTTGTAGCAGCCGCTGGAGGGACGTGGAGCAGGTGACGGCACATTTGCTGCACCTACGCATGGGGCATGCAGAAAGGCAGCAACTTGTGGAGTGTGTGAAGAAGGGGGAGCTGAAGGGTGTGGAGATCAAGGAGGGTGGTGGGCAGCCAAGGAAGTGCCCTGATTGCACGACCGGGAAGCTGCCAAGGACCTCTTTCCCTACCTCCACCACTAGAGCCTCCGCACCTCTTGAGTTGGTGCACACGGATGTGTGTGGCCCCATGCAAACACCGGATAGGGAGAAGGGCAGCAAATACTTCATCACCTTCTTGGATGACTTCAGCCGCCTAAGTTGGGTTACCTTGGTGAAAACCAAGGATGAGGTGGCCAAGGTCTTCAAACGTTGGATACGCTATGCGGAGAGGGAAGCTGGGGCGAAGGTGAAGATACTAAGGTCTGATCGGGATGGGGAGTACATGGGGAAGGATCTGGAGTCTTTCCTTGAAGACAAGGGCATCACCCACCAGCTTTCAGTTGCCTACACGCCGCAGCAAAATGGGGCAGCGGAGCGGCTTAACCGAACCCTCATTGACCTTGCCCGAGCCATGCTTGCTCATGCGCAGTTGGACCATAATTGGTGGGGGGCAGCAGTGCAATATGCCAACCGGGTTAAGAACAGAATGGGCAGCAAGGGGCTAGGGGGCAAGAGCCCTTACTTCATGTGGACCAGGAATGTGCCTAGTGTGTCCATGGCACGAGTGTGGGGGTGCATGGCGCAGTACAAAGTGCCCGACCAGCAACGGAGGAAACTGGATCCTAAGGCACAATGGGGCATTTTTCTTGGGGTGTCGGAGAGGAGCAAAGCTTGGATGTTGTGGAGTGTGGCAGATCAGCGGGTGGTGGAAAGCAGGGATGTGGTTTTCCACGAAGGGCTGAGCTATAAGGGGTGGAAGGAGCATGGTGCTAGTACAGTTGGGAGCTCCCTTCAGGATCCCTACACCTCTTCCATCTTTGAGGGGGCATGGGAGGACCCTGGAGAGGAGGTAGAGGAGCAGCAAGAAGAACAAAAGGCAGCTGCACCTCACCATGAGGAGTCACCAACTGCTGGTTCTACCCCTGACCCTAACGCACCAGCCCATGACCCGGAGCAGCCACATGAGCAGCAGCAGCAACAAGAGAAGCCGCAGCAGCCACCACAGGAGCATACACCGCCCGTTCCTGTGGGTAGGTGGCAGCAACTACTGCAGCAGCAGCTGTCCAAGTCACCACGGTCCCCCATGAAGAGAGTGACTTGGAAGGAGAAGCTGCAAAGTTTGGAGCAAGGGGAGGCTTCACCTCTGCGCCGCACCACACGCATCTCCCGGCCACCTGAAAGGTTCACACCAAGTGCACAGTATGCTTGCATGCATGATCATGAGGTGCATGAATTGGAGGAGTGCATGTTTGTAGATGCTGAGGGGGGTGAGCTTGGGCTTGATTTCTGTCTCATGGGTCAGGTGCATGAGCCCAGGTCGGTCAAGGAGGCCTTGTCCCGTCCTGAGTGGGTCGAGTCCATGCGTGCGGAGCTTGAGTCTCATAGGGTGAACGAGTCTTTTGAGCTGGTTGATCCAGCTTGTGTGCCACCTAGAATGGAGGTCTTGAGGTGTCAGTGGGTGTGGAAGTATAAGCACATGGCTGATGGGAGTATTGAGAGGCCTAAGTCCAGGTTGGTGGTCATGGGGAACACTCAAACACGAGGCGTTCACTATGACCACGTATATACCCCAGTGGGTAAACCTACCACCCTGAGAGGTTCCCTTGGGATGGCAGCATCCTCGGGGTCTCACATCCATCACATGGATGTGACCACTGCCTATCTTCATGGGGTCTTGAAGGAGGAGCTGTACATGAGGCAGCCCCCTGGTTTTGATGATGGGTCTGGCAGAGTTTGCCGACTCAGGAAATCAATCTATGGGCTAAAGCAAGCTCCAAGGCAGTGGTACCTCAAGTTTGACGAGGCGCTGATGGATTTTGGGTTTGAGAGGTCGGAGTGTGACCCCGCCTTGTACCACTTGGTGAGGCATGAGGGCAGGTTGTCCCTCTACTTCTATGTGGATGACATTCTGCTCATGTCTTCGAGCATGGTCTTGCTGGACGAGGTGACGGGTCTCGTCCTCTCGTTTCCGCATGAAGGACTTGGGGGAGGCAAATTACTATTTGGGGGTGCAGATTGAGCGTGATGAGAGTGGCATCTTGATTCATCAGGAGAGGTACATTCTCAACATGCTTGAGTCCTTTGGCCTTTCTGAGGCTAACCCCGTGCGTACCCCTCTCCCTACAGGGTTCGACGTGCATGCACATGCTGAGGAGCCCTTGCTGCGAGTTGAGCTGGTCCAGCTCTATCAAAGCATTGTGGGGTCTCTCATGTATGCAAGCACGACCACACAGCCCCAGATTGCTTATGCAGTGTCACAGCTGTCCAAGGTGGTGTCTTGTCCCAAGGCATTTCACCTGCAGGCTGCTAAGAGAGTGCTAAGGTACCTGAAAGGTTGTGTCAAGTCAGGTATATTCTACCCCGCACACAGCAAGCCTCAGGTTGAGTTGGTGGGCTTTAGTGATGCTGATTATGCTAGAGATTCAGATGATCGCAAGAGTCACACCGGCTATGTCTATTGCCTTAATGGTGTAGCCATCTCTTGGCAGAGCAAGGGGCAGCCGGTGGTTGCATTGTCTACCACTGAGAGTGAGAACATCAGTCTGTGTCAGTGCATTCAGGAGGGTGTGTGGCTAAAGCGTTTGTGTGGGGAGTTTGGGCATGAGTTTGCTGGTGGTGTGCCTGCGTTTGTGGACAACCAGTCTGCCATTGCCCTTGCACAGGGTGCATGCTTGCATGGCCGCACCAAGCACATGCAGGTTCGGTGGCATTTCATCAGGGAGATGGTGGCAAGCGGCGAGGTGATCCTCCAGTGGTGCCCAACCATCCGTCAAGCAGCAGACATACTCACCAAACCCCTTCCTTTTGAGCGGCATGGTGTGTGCATGTCCTTGATGGGGATGCAGCCCCATGTCAGCATGGTGCCTGAGCAGGATGTGAGAGGACTGGTGCTTCTCTGCCTTGACGACCTCATGCTGTGGATGGCGCCCCTCCCTGGGCAAGGGGGAGTGAAGTGAAGGATTTTGCCCAGTGGTGTTCAGCCACCTCCAGCACGAGCAAGGGGGAGTGTTGATTGTGTAGGCGGTTGTGGTATTTTGCTCTAGCTGGTTGTGGGCTAAGGGTTTGGGCAAAATGTGGTGGTTAGACTTGTTGCGGGCTGGAATTGATCTCGCACCCAACAAGAACCAACAAACTTTTGCTATTCATTACAGCACCTTTGGTGTGGCTAGTTTAGCACTCTGGGTTGTTGGGGATTGTTGTAGGGCGAGGGTTGGGTTGGTAGGGTTTGAACAACTCGTCACTTTTCAGATCTGAACTCTTGCTAAAGCTACTTTCTTGAACTAATCCATGGCTGCCTAGTAATTCCGCCAGGATACACCGTCGCACTTAGATCGCAATAGCGTTCGGCCTAGATCTTGGTTGAAAGCGTGCGTTACCATTCTGGAAAGTAGAGATTAAGACCTTTCCAACGCGTACCTGCTCATAGTTTAAGGTCACGTAAGCTGCACGCAATGTTCCGTCGAAGTCGGCGGACTTAATCTCTTGTACGCTCTCCAGATTCGCTCGCTTTCCATCACGGAGCAGGTAAGAGATCCTGCGGGAGATGCTGCGGGTGAGTAAGAGCAGGGCGTGCTGTGGGTGCAGTTGCGTGATCAAGGGGACGGGTGCCACTGCTTTGTTGAGCGCCTGCCGAACCTGTGCGGTGCAGTACTCCCGTGTGCCGATAGGACTTCCCAACACCGTCAACCCCTCCGTGCTCATCAGCAGGCTGTGTGGTGGCCTTGCTAGCCCCTCGTCTCCCGCCTGCAGTCCCCATGCCGATGACTTTGCCACGTTGCAACAAAGTCCCCGCTTCGCTAGCTCGGTCACAATAACGTCGAACGCCTTGAATACCTCCTCCCGCGGTCCCACCACTGTGATGTCATCGGCGTACGCTATGACAGCCGCCCCTGGGTGAGTGGATGCCACGCACATCAGGATCGGCTGGATCGCCGCTGCAAACAGGAGCGGGCCGAGGGGATCCCCCTGACGCACACCACGGGAGCTAATGATGTGATCGACTCCCATGGCCGGGTCGACCAGGAGCCGCGACGGGGAGTCATATAACGTCTGTACAAAAGGCAGGAGCTGATGGAGGTCGGAGAGCTGCAGCGCCGTGAAGAAGGCCTCCCGCTCGACTGAATTGAACGCATTCTCAACATCGAGCTGGAGAGCGATGTGGTCCTCGTTGTCACGGAGCAGGGCTCGTACCGCGTAAATGACGCATTCCGCACCGCCGGGAACTGAAACACCGAACTGGACCGGTAGTAAAAACTCTCGAATCGCCGGGGCTAGCTCACGTAGTGCTGCCTTAGCCGCCACCCTAAGTAGCGCCTTGCCTATCGCGTTAGGACGTACCCCCCCTCTTGGCTTTTCAAGGGCTATCAGCCGCGACGGTAGGAGCAGATCGCGTACTTCTTTTGTCTGCACACTATTCAGTAACTGACGGACGACCTTAGTGAGGAGTATGAGGACTTCCTCACTGCAGTGGGCTGGGTCTTTCAAATGCTCGAAACAAGTGCCAGACGGGCCCGCTCCAACCCCGTTCGGACATTTCGCCAGTACTTCGCGAACATCGTCAGGGGTCAGGCTCACTGACGAGATCGACGAGACTGTGCGGCTGGTAACCCAACTCGGGATTGGTATTTCCCCAATTGGGTGCTTCGCCTGTAGGGCCTCAAGTGTAGTTGGTGTTGCTTCTGCCAGCGGGGTCACTTGTAACGCGGCAACTGCATTGGAAATGTTCGCTTTTTTAATCAACCCCTCCGCTCTTGCGCATAGCCCAGCGTCATCAGGTTGGTGTCGTGTCGGGGCCTTTGTAACGGGTATTGCGCATGCCTTAGTGTAGAGGTCAGCAAAATCCCCGAGCCTAAAGTGGTGCAACCTCGTCTCGATCGTTAACCAGCGGTTCCCCTCCACTGGCTCCGGCATGGGTCGAAGGGTGAGGCGGGGTAGATACTGCAGCACCGTCCAGGCTCCTACGCAGTCCGGTTTCGTAGCCAATCGCAGGAGGGGCGCCAGCAAGCACAGGGTGTAGCTCTCCAAGATCTTTGGGGGCAGCCGCCGGACTAGAAAGGGTTGGTCCATTTGCTGGAGTGGTGCAGTGTCCCAAGTGCCAGCTAGATTCCATATGGCGTCATCCTTCGCCAGATCAGCGGGAGATTTCTCGGATGGATGTGGTGCCGCGCCTGCCGCCCGATTTGCTCCCTCGTCGGTTGGTGGTGGTACACCACCTGCTCTCTCCCTTCTCCTTTGCCTCCTAGATGACGTAAGTTCGCATTCTTCGTCACCTTGGGAGACCTCCTCCGAAACCACTGAGCCCGAGGGCATAAAGTCACTCCCGTTCTGAGAGTTGTCAGAGCCCACATCCACCTCGGTGGCAGGCGCAGGCACCTGCTCTGGACGATCGTGGCGATCTCGCCACGTGCCCGATCTCACGATCGCGGCTTCTCCCCCTAGCAGGGGGATCCTTCCTCCTCGCGTACCTCCCCTTCCGCCTCTCCCACCGCGTGGCCCCACTGGTGGCGCATCGGCGCTGCCACCTCTCTCCGGGGGGTCGCCATAGTTGCCTGCCCCACGCCTGTCGGCCTACCCCACACGATTCCCCGACCCCTCGCCGCGCTCTGTGTTTCTCGGTGAGTCGTTTGCCGGGTAGTGGGCACCTCCTCCACTGGTTGAGGCCCCTGACTTGACTACCTGGCTCCGTGCTGTGCCTGACCCGCCTCCCCCGTGTTGATCCTCTCGCTGGGTCCCATTGCAGGCTGAGGCGCGGATGACAACGAACACGCTTGCCCTGGTGGCGACTGCTCTTGCCGAAGCCAGCCCCGGAGGGGTCCCGGGCCTCAGGTCCCAACCCTGCTCCAGGCCGCCTCGGCGATGGCTGGGCGCGCAGCTTCTGCTTCCTCCTCGCCGGGGCAGCGCCGGCAGCGGCGACGACCGCGGGACCCCCAGTATCACCCTCCGCCTGGCCGTGCCCCTGCATGCTTGCGCCCGCGGCAGTCGCAGGCGTTCCGGCGGACTCAGCGGCAGCAGGCTCAAACGGTTCGTGCGGGGGTTGGTCTTGCCGCCCCACTGCCTCAGCTACAGCAGCAGCGATCACAGGCGCTTCGAGAGTTGGCGGAGATTCTGCCCCTTCTGGCGCCGGTGAATCCGCCAGTCCCAGCCCCCCTTGTACCTCCTCCGCAGCCGGCCCCTCCTCGGACAGTTGGTGCATCGTCGCCGGCCGCCCCACGGCAGGCAAGGCTAAGCCGTCGTCAGAGGCGGCAGCAGTCCCAGCAGCAGGCCGACGCGGCATCTGCTCCGACTCTGTCGGATCTGCCTCCATGGCCATAGGTGCCCCCCCCTGCAGCCTCACACATGGCTCCGCAGCAGCAGCATCATCCCGTGAACCAGTTTCCCCTACCCCAGCCCCAGCTGCACCATCCGCCGGCTCTCCCAGTGCCTCCACTTCCTCCTGTCCCCCATGCTCCTCTCGCTGCTGCTCCTCCCGCCACAACGCCTCCCCTCGTCGAGCAGCGCGTTGTGCACGTGGGGACGTGCCTGACGTTGCTGTCGTACGTACTAGACCAACTCCACGTTTGTTTGGTGCGGCAGGGCTTGGAGGTTGAGGGGATGTTGCCGGCAGAGCAGTCTGCGGCGGTGGCAGCGGCCACGGAGATGCTGCACTATCTACCCCTGATCGGTCTTGTGCAGGGGGCTCCTGGTGCCGCGCTCGGGCCCGGCCCCCGGGCAATGGTGAGGCTTGCTGAGTCTGCCCGGGGGAGTCCACTTGGCCTTGTATCAGCAGCCGCATCCGTCCTACGCTGGATGGACGGGAGGCTGTGCTGGATACTCGCCGAGTAGCCGGTTTGTCCCCTTTGCCAGCCCCCTTGGTAGCAGGCTTGGCCCTGGGCTTCCCCATGGTGGTGTAGGCACGCCCGGGGGTCTCTCTCTCTCTCTCTCTCTCTCTCTCTCTCTCTCTCTCTCTCTCTCTCTCTCTCTCTCTCTCCCTCTCTCTCTCTCTCTCTCTCTCTCTCTCTCTCTCAAGCGGTCATGCATTGATAGTGGTCATGGGGTACAGGGATGGCAGGGGGTGGTTGTAGCTAGTCTGTCTAAGTATGTAGGCAAACAGGTACCAAGAGCTAACAGACAAAGCAACATGCAAGCAAATCTAGCAAGCAAAGCCAAACCAGTAGTGTAGGCCGAGCAGGCATGCCGTGTGTATGTACAGACTAGTCCCCGAGCACTTAAACAAGCCATCCAACAGCAGCAACACCAGTCCCTGACCACCTTCCTCTCTCCCTGTCCGACCATAGTTCCCCTGCCCCTTCCTCTCATCCCCCTTCCGCCCCCCTCTTTTCCTTCTTGCCCTTCTAAGCCGCTCTGGCAGGAGCCTCCCGCTCCTCATATTCGTCTGTGGTCATCTACTACGAGTCCCCAAGCCGTGGGCCCCATGGGTCAGCCGCCGCCTGTGGGAAAGCTGCTTCTGCTGCGCGGTTGGACTTGGACAGGAGGGAGATGGCCCGCCTTCGATGCAGCATGCGCAATAGCGAAGTGGGAGACTGGCGGTAGTGGGCATTGAGCCGGGCTATTGTGGTGGTGAGCCGACCTTGCCTGGACTTCTTCTTGATGGCGTTGGTGGCCAACATGCGCAGGAATTGAAGCGTGTCGGCTGCCATCGCACCATAGGTCTCAACTGCAAGCCCGAAGAAGCCGGCGTAGATGGGCCGCCCTTCGTACTTCCGGTGTTTCCTCTGTGAGGCCTCCTTTGCCGCCCACCGCGACGGCCTACGTGCTCTAGAGTCCCTATTCTGCAGCACCTGATCAGTCACAGTAACATCCGTCACCTATGTTTCGCCCAATTCCTGGTCCCGGATGGCCAGGTCTGCTCTTTTCCTAAGGACAGGGGGTGAGAATGCGGAGGGCTCGTGGAGCACCTTGAAACCTGCCTCGTTCGCCATCCGCAGCGTCGCGTAGACAAGAGCGTTGTGGGTCCTGACCACATCCCCGCCGTCCTGGCAGTGTAGAAGGTGGTTAGGCAGACTCTTGTCCAGGATCGCAGAGTTGCTTCGCTTCCACGGGCAAACCTCAACGACCGGGAGCTCCATGCCTAGGCGGAGGCCTAGGGTCAACGAGAATTGACCAAGGGAGATGCTAAGGTCAGCTCTCGGCGGCACAGCATGGAGCCAATCTCCTGCTCCCGCTCCTTTCAAACTGATGAGTCGAATCGCATGGCCCCTGTTGGTGTCGGGCCGGTCAACGACTGTGTCACCTAGGAGGTCTACTGCCCTATGATGGTTGATGAGCTTAGAGAGGCGCAGCTGCAGACTGCCCGTGCCCATGTTCTCCATCCCGTACTGGCTAAGGGCTGATTGTGCCGAGACCGTGAGACTCGCTTCCAGGGAGGTCAGGGGGTTGCTATCTGGAGACGGAGGGGTCCACTCATGGGAGATTAGAGTCATGGCCCTGTGTAGCAGGCAGTTCGAAGGCAGGCTCAGTTGCTGGAGGAGGGAATGGGCAGCTGCAACCGAAGCAATGTAGGCGGCGGGAGCCTCCGAGTTTGGGTCATACCCAGGCCACCCAACCTGATTGGCAGCGTCACTTGTTGCCAAATTAAACTCTGCTCCAGCTCAGACGCGAGAATGCGAAGCTTTGCTGCCGTGAGCGCCGCCCCCACCAAACTCTCGCTTCACTCCCTCCACTATTCCTCGCCCAGTGCTAATGCCGGTGTCGTTCGCAGCAGGTACGAAATCCGGCAGGAGATGCTGCGTGAAACAATCAGCAGTGCATACTGTGGGTTGAGCTGTGTGATGAGGGGCAGTGGTGATGTAACGCATTGCCCTAACTACTACCTAGCAACCTAACTTATCCCTACTCAAATGTCGAGAGTTCTCTCGACAGAGAAAGAGTTGGAGAAGATGGTTGAGTTGGTTGGGATGAAACTTGGTTTAGGTTTGCCAAGCCTCAACTTTGGAGGCTTGGATCTCAACCAAGAGAATGTTCAAGGTTAGTTTTCTAACCAATCACAAACTGCCAAACAATTGTTACAATCTATTCTATCCTAAACACAACCACCCAATGGTTTTAAGTTAGGTTTTCCAACCCAACACAATTGCCACATAGGCTCCAAGCCTAGGAACCCTCCCACCATGGAAACCATGGTTGGGAGAGTTCCCAAAGGGGTGTATTGGGGGGTTTGAGTTTTCAAGCTCATTCTTCACCTCCCACTCCAACTCAGATATGAGGTTGTTGCCTAAGTCATTGAGGGCTCTCTCACACAACTCCCTACACAATTTCTTCAAGTGCTTTCCATCAAAGGCTTCAACAAGACTCTCATCACCAAGGCTATTAAGAGGGGTTAGCTAGAGCTACCATCTTGTACCGGGGTTCTTAAAAAGGCCTTGTAATTTCTACTATGATAGCCTTGGGTGTTACATTGGTATCTAGAGCAAGGTTCGTCCTTGGCCTTGTATGGCCATTTGCTACTTGATCTAGGATTATGGATTTAGGAGTTCATCCAAAAAGCTATCAGGATCTTGGAGATAATTGAAGAAATTTCAAGATCTACAAGTGTTTCTTCAAGATCTACAAAAGCTTCAACAAGATGTACAAGCTTCAAGCTACCAATTCTTCAACCCACCATTGGAGCTACAAAATCTATAAGGAGATTCTTATTCATCATCAACATTGAGAATAAATTTGAAGTGTTTAATTTATCTTACCCACCTTTGGTGGAAGACTCTTGATCTACCTTGCGTAGAAGAGTATAGTTCAAATCTACAAAGACTTGTTGATGATTACCCTCTTGAATATATCTTGTTTTGTCATTGAGGTGATCGAGAGGTTTTGCAAGCAAGTCAATCTCAAGAGATTCTGTATTGGATTATTCTATAAGAGTAATCAGACTTCTTAAAGATTAATTAAGATCTGTTGAAATCTCCTTTTCCTTAACCTATTTCATGGCTTCTGGTCAAGAGATGGATGCCTTCTAAGAAGGTGCCTATGGTTGGTAATAATGTTGTTGCTGCTGCTGGTGGTGTTGCTGAAATTGATCTTAACCAAGATGAATTCTTGGCTGACCTGGAAATCAATGGCAGTGAAGCTGAAACTGAGGCTGGTGCTGATAATGAGGATAAGACTGACACTAACGAGGGTGTCTCCAATAAGACTGTGGACATTGCTGTCAAGCTCCAGACCCACATCATGGAGCAAAATATTCCCATTGAGGAGCAGCAGTGCCGTATCCAGAACTTGGAGGCTGATTCTGCTAAGCTCAAGGCCTTGATTGAGGAGCTGAGCAAGGAAGTGCAGCCGATCCCTAAGGGCACCTCCAACTTCATTCTGGACCTGCAGAACACTCTCAAGTTCGTGCAGGGGTAGCTCAACAAGCATCAGACTCTCATTTCCTAGCTTGAAGCTCAGTACAAGGAGATCCGGCGTGGCAATATCTATCAGCCTCCTCCTGCAACTGAGCATGCCGCAACTTCCACCAACAGCCGTGCTGAACCTGCTGCCGCACGTTCTGCTGTCTCCCCTCCTGCTGTAGCACGTGCTGGGCCTCCTACTGCAGCTGCAACTACCCTTCGGCCCTCGCCCGTTTTGTCAACGGCAAGACTGTCGAGTTTATCCAGCGGGGCCAGGCAGCGAGATCAGTGTGGGTGATCCCAGTTACCCAGGCGGTGGTTTGTGTCTCGGCTGCTAGGTGTTTTGCTTGCAGTGCCGCCAATGTTGCAAGGGTGGGTTCCGCCAGAGGACTCGTTCGCAGGGCCGAAACCGCTTTTGAAATATTCCCGTTTTTCACCAATCCTTCGACGCGAGCACAAACCCCCTCCTCGTCAGCTTGGTATCTTACCGGGCCCTCCGTAGCAGGGATGACCCGTGCTTCCTCAAAGAGGTCTCCCAACTCGCCACGCTGGAATATGCGCAGGCGGGCTGTGATGATTGCCCAGTGGCTTCCTGTGACTGGTTCCGGTGCCGGCCTGAGTGTGATTCTTGGGAGGTAATGAAGTACCGTACGGTCCCCCCACCTAGACAGGTATGATATTTCTGCAGGTGGTAGAGTGGGGACAACATGCACAGGCAATAGCGGTCAGGGCTCTTGCTAACTTTTAAGCCCGTCTGACGATTTTGGGGAAAACAAATAATTCGTCTGACCCTCATACAACGGATTCTTGGTGGTCTTAAGCTCAGACAGAATGTAAAGCTTGATCTGACTATTCAAAAAAAAATTCACGAGGGTTTCACGCAAGTGCGAGTGCGGGTGGGTGCATGCTTTGTCTGTTGTGCTTTTCACCTATGAGAAAATGTAGTATTTTAGGTGTGGATTTCCGTGCTAGTGCGTTTTATTGAAGGGGCGTGAAGTCGAATACCTCGTGAAACCATGGGCAGAAAGGGAAGTAGTCTATATTCCACTACTGCACAAGTGAAGCAAATCGCAAAAAGGCCGACATGTTTTTGCAGGGGCAACATGACGCAAGGTTACGGATTCCGCAAACCAGGATTTTGAACACGAGAAATCGGAAGGTTGCGACGCCGGGTATCCAGTCGGTTTTGTGTTGCGTCAGCATGACCCAGCCCCGGTCGTCGGATTGGTCCGGTGGTCTCGGCCTAGCTGCGTTAGCCGGGCCGGGGCTGAGTCAGCTCTCGGCCCAGCCGCGTGTGATCGTGGCTCGGCTCCCAGCTAAGCCCAAGGATCGGCCGCCCAATTTCGTGGCAGGGGTGAGCGGCCCAGCCTGTCAAACATTTATCATTTAGTGGGGTAGACACTAAGGGGTACAGTTTCCTAGGGTTTCCTACTTGTACCCAACCTTGTTATAGTTCATCCATTCCTCTTTCTTCACATGCTAAGAGCACACTCACCCCCGACGGACGGAGGACACACAGACTCAGACTCAGTAACAAGACTGGCAGCGTAGTCTAGACGTCAGTGAGCAGAGAAGTCGACAAGCTCAGCAACTAAGGAAGACGCAGCAGTGGACTCAAAGGAAGGGTTAGTGACAACATTAGCCAGGAGACGCGTGACAGTAGGACTAGCAGCACGAAGGGAGTTAGACTCCGGGTCAGCAAGAGCGGGAAGAGAGGACTCTGGAGGAGATGGCAAAGGGACACGCTGTGGAGCAGTGGAAAGACGCAGTGCCATCCGGTGCGTGCCCGGGACTGCAAGAGGACGCTAACCCGGAACACGACGACCAGTGCGAGGAGCACGAACAGGCGACGCAGGACGAGACTCGGGCTCACGACGCTCAGCAAGACCTCTAGTAGGACCAGTGTAGGGAGAAGGAGCAGGCAGTGGGGAGGCCAGCTGTAACTGTGACTCGGACTGGACAGGCGGTGGATACTCTAAGGAAGGAGCAGGACCAGTAGAAGGCGGAAGACCAAGAACCTGCTAAAGGAGCGGAACGAAGTACGGCCGTGGTCGCGCAGCACCTCCAGAACTAGCAGAGACAGCACCAGCACCCCCAGCGTCAGCTCCGACTCCATCAGCGCCACCAGCTCCAGCAGCACCACTAGCTGCTCCAGAAGCGCCAACTCCAGCGCCCAC